CTGTATTACAGCAGCATCTGATTATATCCACAGCATCCTAAATCTCACTTTTCTACTCAAACAATCTGCTACAAATAAAAGGATGTTGTGTCAGTGAAACGGTTTCCAACAGTTTAAATGTAACTTTCTCCTTGCTTCCTCATTTTATGTACTGTCAATTAGTCAAATGAGATGGGAGATCCTTTCAGAGCATCATGGTTTTAATTGGGACTTGAGTAGAAAGGAGTAATTAATAACTGTTAACCTGTCCAGTAAAGCCGTGTCGCAGATTAATGAACCATGTCTTTTGCACAKTGCACATGAATTGAAAAATGCAGCTGTTAAAAACTGATTACTGTTATTTGTGTAATTAATGCTGATCATTGCACTGAAGTATAATGACAATAAGAGATTTTTTTTAATTAATATATTTTATTTTAAGCAGAGGAATAGGTATTAGGTACCCATATTATTTTTGCGTGTATTTTTGAGATACTGTCTTTCCTCCTCTTGTGTAAATTATTGTGTAAATGAGATAGAACTCTTAAATGCTGTTGTGCAGCTAATTTATATTGTTTTATTGACTATTATGTAAGGATGGAAAGTCTGAAGCCTTATGTAGGAGAGGTGAAAACAGAATTAGATCAAATAAGAAAATGTCACTGGATTTGTATTGACCCTAGTAATAGTAGGGAACCTAAAGGAATATTAAGAGGTCTGGTTCACTTTTTTTTTTGTTTCTTTTTTCCAGCAGTAAAATTTGATTTATCAAAAGCAGAAAATCTCTCCACAAGTGGTGGAATGTGTTTGAAAGTTGCTGTATTTTAAATCAGGTTTTCCAGTCCCTGTTAGTGCTACTTGTTTTGAGTAAGAATAGAATCTTTCCCGATGGCAAAGTCACTTACTGTATGGAATTGTAAGCCAATGTCTCTTGTACTGAACTGCTTTATCTTAAATAATGTATCAGTCAATAAAAGAACAGGTTGTTCTATGGATTAGGGAACAGGTTTTTCTCAGCTCTGTTTCTTGAGGTTGGATTTTGTGGTGTCTTGTTTGTGGAGAAGTTTCTGTATTCTTTTRCATTTGTCACTCTTTTGATTTCTTCCATGTTTTCTCCCCCTTCCATTAACAGCTAAGCTCCCCAGATTTTATTAATTCCTTCCCAGTGATGTGTAACAGCATCTGCCTCTTGTCTACTCAATATCCCATTTCCATTACACGTTCAGGGAATGTACTGAGCTACCTCCTCATCTGAAATAAGTTTTAAGTTGCCAGCTGATCAGTGTTTCAGTCATTTCTGTGGATCAAGACACTTAAATGGACAAGATTAGAAAGAGGACTCCAGAAGTCTTAGTTAAACAGGCAATATTTGTCAGTAACGGGGCTGGTGTTGTACCTCGTAAAGCACAGCCAACAAACTGCACTGCTGATCCCCCATGGAGATACCCATCATGTCTGTACAGCAGAACAAGATTCTCTGAAGGTTTGTCCATTTTTTGGGATCAGTTGCAAATACAGTGACAAGAAGTACAAATAATGAGAAGCTATTTCAACAGCCAATTAGGAGGTTGATGTAATCCGCAGTTATCTGCATCATTTTTTTTTCTTACCCTGATGCATTCGGAAGCGTTGTTAACCATCACTGTTAGGAAACTGCTCTGTTGTGATGCCTCTTGTCAGCTAATCATTCATTTCTACTTTCTAAATTATTTGTAAGMAGAATTGTTGCTGGGAATAAGTGGAAGGGGGAGAAAAGGTGYTCATTTAATTTAAGCCATTAGGGTCTTGCTGGATGAGAGGATCTAGAAACAGATCTAAGCTGTTCAGGTGCAGTGAGAGAACAGTGTAGGAAATCCTTTMTTGGCTGTCTCTGCACTCGTCCTTGCTGTAATCCAGGTGAGACCGAGGTGTGATGTGATTTTCTGCTCTCTGCCCATAAAATCACAGCCTAAACTCACCTCCAGATGTGGCTGCCACACACAGAACATCAGAGTAATTGCTCTGCTCTGCTCCAGTCACACTTTGTTTTCAGCTGGAACACCTCCATGCCTCGGTGTGCACGGTTTTCATTTTCTGAGGCTCTGGGGTTAGCAGGTAACCAGTCCAGTGCAGTCCCTGGAAAGTGATGAAAGCTGATTGCCTGTTTGGTTTTGTGCTGTTTGATGCTTGGAAGGTGCAAGGATGCTCTCAGCTGGGAAGAGACCAGGGAAAAAGATCTTCAGAATGCTGGACTTTGCTCTCAGGTGATAAATCACAAATAGCTGCTGCATTTCCTGCAGGTCATCTCAGGGCAGATGGTCTCTGTTCCTGTGTGCCAGTGCCAAAGGGAAATGTTTCCTCTGCCACACCTCAGAGATGGCACTGTTAAATGGAGAAGCAGCTTTGAGTTTTCCCTCAGAGCCATACTAAGTTCTGTGGACTGTTTCAATCYGTCTTTTCACTGCTTCAGCCATATCATCTTTAAAAGGCAATTKAATGGTGCCTGATGGTTTGTAGAGYTTACAGGGCTAATCTGTYCCCAGGTAYATGACAAAGCCTTTGATAAATCAGCACGTGTCTCATATTAGATTAAATTGAGTCCAGAATATTTTATGGGWTGATTTAATATACTGAATTGAAACAGTTACATTTTTGGAAGTAACTCTAAAAACTGAGGACTTAAGCAGTCATAAGTAACTAAAGGGTTAACAGTGGGCACCAGCATCTGTTTTCAAGAGTTCTCATTTTTCAGTTTGTTCTGAGATGTTTATGGCTTTGGGAGAGGGACAATGCATACATCCAAAATCATAAAGAGCAGGTTTTGTTGTTTTATGTTTTTGCAATTTAAAATAATTCATTGACTTGAATAGATGTGAATTGGTTTACCTGTAAGAATTAATCTACAGTCTTTTGCCATGTAAAAAATAAGCAGTGCCTTCTTTGGCTTCTTTGTTCTCGGACAATTTGTGGCTGGTAAAGTGTTGGCTTATTTAAGATGAAAATGGAATCAACAATGAGCATTTATTGTTGATATGGTTGTGCTGTCACTGTTGTAAAGTTAAAAAGCAGCAATTATAGCTGAAATCTGAAAGCTGTTTTGTAATTTCACATGTGCGACACAACTCCTTACTGGAGATTGTAGCCATGGCAGCAGTGGTTGCTGCACTTTGTGAATAACAGACATGTAGTTACTTTCTCTCAGTGAAACTGAGGGATTTAATAGTGATGGTTTCTTTTAAGCACAAAGTTTTAAAAACTCTCTTTACAAAAAAAAAAAAAAAGTCTGTATTTCCTTTCTCGTGTGCTACGAAATAAACCAGGGATTAATAAAAATATACTGGATATGGATGCAGGAAAAGRCAATTGTTATTTTAAATCCTGCCTGTTGCATCATGTAGCTGTGATGTGTCCCTGGTTCTCCCACCCTTTTGTGCTATAAAATCCCATCTGAACATCTGAATACAAACATGAGTTGAAAACAGAACAAAACAACAATAACTGAACCTTTGCCATTTGGGTAATCCTGATTCCTGCATTTCATTTAATTCTGTAATACGGTTTTAACCCTTTACATTTTTAAGCATCTGAGCTGGTCACTTCTATCACTCCCCTATTCATCTGATTAGAGTTCTCTCAAATAATCCCTTTTCATCTATGGATTGCTTGTTTAAGGTAGGTTAAGATTAAGTGACTCAGGTTCAAATTGCATCTGCTTATCTGAATTCAGATGAATGTCAAAATCTTAGCAAATCACAATATTAGATATATTTACTTACAGAAATGGCAAATAGTAGGTTGCTATTTTTATAATATGGCAAATAGTAGGCTGCTATTTTTATATTTCTTTCTGTCTTAGCTGTCGAGTAAAGCAGAGCTGAACAGCAAATGCTTATGAGGCTTCAGCTGAATTCCATATATTCATGTAATTTACATACTTTTAAAGCCACAAAGAACTGTGGCATAAACATTCCTTAATACCAGCAGCTAGGAGATAAATTGAAAATTGTGTATGTGCATACACAGGAAAAAATGAAGGGTCTAAAATACAGAAGGAGGACAACTGAGCTAAGAAACAGAGTTGTGCAGAATACAAGTTCTCAGATTCCTGTGAAATCAGATTTGTGTAGAAACATCATAAACCTGTAGTCATTCTTCWGACCATTTGGAGACATTTGGAGTCATCAGTAGAGCAGCACAGTGAATAGTCAGATAATCCTTAAATACCTGAATTCTGTCTGAACTCAGTGAACTTTGTATCACTGAGTAGTCTTCAGTCAATTCCTTATATGCAGAGCATCACACAGAAAGGTCATTTTATGTCATGGGAGTATTTGCCACACTACACTTGATTTCATCTGATTCAGAATAAAATCCCCCTTTTTTTTCAGTTTTCTGTGAAAGAAAAAAACCTGATGTTTTCCAGTCAGAAAATCTGCTGCAAGTTATGGTATTTGGATGCTTTTTTTGTTGACTTTGGGGAAGTTTGCTTGATTTCTGGCCCAGATCTGTGGATTTTTGGGAGCTAATTGCCCATTTCAGCTCAAGCTTTGATGTTCAAATAAAACAAAATAAAAGTTGTTTGTCTGACAGGAGGCAAACCCCAGGATTTGGGTAAGATAGATTAGGTTTTTAAAATTCAATTTAAATTTCTTAATACTCTTTAAACTCCTGTTTTCTCTCTGAAGAGTAACTGTGCAGAAATCCTCTGCAAGATGCTTCCAGTGTATGCAAACATTCAGTATGTGCTATGCCCTTGAAGAGGTAAACTGAKCAAGAACATCTTGCAGATAATAACGTGGAAAATATGGAAGGCCAACTCAAGATGTTTTAGTGACATTATTTTCAAAACTGAGGCTTTTTCAGGGAGGTGTTTATATCACATGAAAATCTGTTGGAGTGCWACAAGCACTTGGGCGCTGCAGCTTTGTGTGGTGAGAGCGTGGTGCATGGCAAAGCCTCTGTCTCAGAATGAATAATTAAAATAATAATGATGTTTTCTGMCACTGTTGCTAATGGTCACCTCTGTTGCTCTGTTCCCTCAGCTTTCTCTGCTGGAAGATGCAGGGTTTGGTGGTGTTCTGCTTTACGTTGATCCCTGTGACCTACCAAAGGCTGCAGATTTGGCTGATAAAGCCTTTATGGTCTCCTTGAACAGYGGAGGAGATCCATCCACGCCTGGTTATGCCAGCATTGGTGAGTACTGCTCAGGGTTAGCCACTGAATGGCATTTTAATTCTCTGTGGGTTCTAAGTGTGGGGGTTGAGATCCTAAACCAAATCCTGCCTGAATCAAAACCTCTTGAGTGAGGAAACACTGTGTAACACTGCTTTGGGTGGAATCTTCAAGGAAAGAATCCAGTCTCAAAAGGGCTTTAAGCACAAAGTCTGTACTCTAAATAATCTATTTTATTGTGTTTTGTATTCAAGTATTCACACACAGGACCTTTATTGCTACCTGCTTATTCTTATCCCATGAACAAACCCCCAAAACTCTGAAGTACTCATCCAGTGGTTTCTCAGTCTTTTTCACAGCATCTGTCCTCACTGAAAGAAATATTCCCTTAATTCTGTCTGCCACTTTCATTTCTGGCCTCAGAAATGAAAACTTTTGGTCAATAGGTRCAAGTGAAATGTAATTAGCCATTTCTATTTTGAAAGTTTTAAGAAAAAATAATGTTTTTAGTGTCTGTGTGCAATTGTCACTTGAATAAGATGTTCAAGCCTTGCCTCAGTTGTGCCCAGGTAGACTTGTTTATTAATTATGCTTCTCCAAATACATGTATTTGGAAATACAGAATTGATTTCAAGGAGCAACATCATCTTCTATAATTTTATTTGGKGTTTTTTTGAAGCAACATTAACAATAAATGGAAGCAGCAGCGTATTTGACTTGTATGTGCTACTTAAATCTCCATTCTGGCAGTTCAGTGAATGTGTGTTCTGCTTCTCTGCAGCTTTTTCAGCTTTACAGCCCTTTTTACTATCTAACTATTTTGAAATGTATTAAGCAGCAGTCCATGAGTTTGTGGCAAGGCTTCATCAAGAATATTTTGTCCGGTTACTGGCTCAGGCATCTAAAGTTTGACTTGAATTGGCACTAAATCARCTGAGGCAACGTGGAGATACTTCATGCCTAGAATGGCAGAAAATAGAAATATTTGCCTGGTTGTCAAAGAAGGGTGTTAGCTATTCACAGCATGAATGCCTTGACAGCTCAGTGGGAAAGAAATTGCACATTTTCTCAGTGTCTCAGCGTACCTGACCCAGTGTTCTTAAAAGTGCCCTGGGAGCTACAGAGGTAAATATAACACTCTTGAAGCTTTATTCTTGCTCATTTCATGGAGCTATTTGAAAAACAGTTTGTGGTGTCTCTGTCTGGCTGACTCCTTAATGTTTTATTTACCCTGCATGAAAAGTAAAGCTAATTAAAACAGATACACCAACATGAAGATGCCACTTCAGTGTCTGAACCTTATGTGTTGGTTTTCTGTCAGTAAGTGATCTCATCTGCAGCATGCATTTCAATCTGCAGTTTGGGAAGGAGAAGCTTGATTTTATGGGCAGTGGTGTTAGAAGTGCATGGATGGTTTTTGGTAGAAGCCTTAGCATGTCTTTGAATGGTTTTAAATGGTTTTAAATGGTTTTAACTCTCTGAGCAATGTTCCTAAGCAGGAGCAGGTCATTTATATTTTGAAAAATCATTTCTGTTTTGATCATTGAATGCAATGATGAGCCACAAAGAGCTCCAAGGAATTCTTGAGAAAGCTCTTTTTTTATGGTTCTGTCACTGGAAGGTAGATAAGATGGAGATAATTTCTATGTTTCTGGTGATGATCTTGCTTCTTTGGAGACTGAACTGACTTTTTTAGAGGCAGTTTTTCTGGGACAGACACAAATACTCCTGGACTGCAGGCTTTTCCCTGGGGGATGCACTTGGATGTCCAGGGGTTAAACTGCCAACATGTGGAATAAAAGAGCCAGAGAGCCCGAGCTGCCCCTTTCACTTTGATTCACAGAGGGTAATAATCTCTGGAAGGGATTTTATTGGAAGCTCCTGCTTAAGTTATTGGCATATCTTTGACACCATCTGCACTTCACACTTTGCCAGCAGAACTGTTACTATCACAATCTCGGGGCTGCTCCTACCAGCATTCTCCCTTTTTTTTCTGGGAAATTCCTGGTGAGATGAGTGATCCAAATCTAGTCCTGAACTTGGTGAATAAAAGGTAGGAAGCTTGGATTTTCACGCTTCTGCCAGTGTTCCTCACGTTCTTTCAGTCTGAACACAAATTTCTCTGTGGTATCAGAGTGCTGGAATGCTTCAGGTTTTTCCTAGAAAAAAAAGTCTTTGGGTATAATTTACAGATCTTTTCTCAAAGTTGACAACATTTTAAAATGGGATTTATGTAATAGTTCAGAGAGAATTTTTGGAGTTCTCATGAGGTTTCAGCTCACATTTTCTGTTTCATGAAGATTAAATGCTGCAGTTCTGCATATGAATCATCTTGAATGTATAGAAATAGCTTGAGGATGGGTTTGAGATGCCAGCTACCTACGAGTAGAATGATTTTATTGATCTCTGTTYAACAAAGGGGAAAAAGTAATGATGAGAAGGGGAACTGAACAGCACTTATGCAAAAGTTTCTGCAGCTCTGTTCCATAATTTAATTCTTCTCAAGACTTTTCCAATCCTAAATCAAATCAGTCCTGAAACAATCATATGAACCTCTGTGAGCATCAGTTCTGTCTGTTATTCTGAGTGCCAGAGACTAGTGTCCTTCATTTTTGGAAATCTTTCTTCTGTATTCCTGCTTTTGAAATGAAATAGGTCCAGGAGGGTAACGCTCAAGGAATTAAATGTACAGGATTAATAAGCTTGAGAGGGAAATAAGAGACTCACATGGCAAAAATTGTCTGGAAAAKAAGGTTTAGAAGAGTAGCATAAAACTTGAGCAACTTCCCCATCTACTTTTCTTTTTCCATTTTGACTTTTTGACTGCTGCACTTCCTTTCACCCACCTTTGTATGGCAGACACATATTAGATTTCTCCATTGCCAGACTTCAGAGCTGTTCTAAATCAAATTTGTTTCCACACAGGAAATGGCTCAGTAAACAAAAATATGGATAGAATCTATTTGTCAATCCTACTATGTAAATAGAAAAGTGGCATTGTGATAAGCACTAAGAACCCTGCCCAGGAGATAAGGTGCCTYATAATAGAATCCCTATCTGTGCAGTGGGGGAATAGAAATTATTTCATGAAGAGTTTAGATGGCATCATGGAAAATACTGTGAGCTTAAAAATTCTGAAATATAACAGTTTTAAAATGCAATCTTATGGTATCAGCTGGAGTTTCAAGAGTAATGTTGGTTTAAGGAATTGTTATGCAGAGGTTATAGCAGTAAGAAAAAAGGGTGTATTTGGAAGCCTTGAGTGGTTCAGGTCATTGTTAACAACTGGTCATATGAGCCTTATTACAGGAATTTGGATGAAAAAAATCAGTGATTCAGGAAGTGCATGATGTCCCTAGAACTGTGAATACTGAACATTATTCAGACAGAATTGACATGAGCATTTATCAAACATTGCTAATAGGATTTGGTTTCAGAGGAAGAGACAAGGAATTGGTGAGGTGTTGATCCACTGCAGGCCACAGCTGAGGCTGTCAGCAAAGTCAGTGATGCCTCTGAAAATGCATTTAAGAAGGGATATGGATACTGGGCAGGCAGGGAAATGGAGCTGAGCCTGGAAAAGGGGAAGGTGACAGTGCCACTCTCATTTTTTGGGTTTGTTTCTCACTCTCCAAATCCATTTTATCTGTCAATTGCTGACACTCTGGTGCCCATGGTGGTAATTGATAAGTGATCTCTCTGTCTTTACCCTGATCAATGATTTTTTCCATCTCACTTTCCTTTCGTCCCCTGGGATAGGGATAATGAAAGCGTGGCTGTGTCCGTGTCTGGAAGCTGCCAAGGTTTACCMACCACAGTCAACAAAAGTTAAACACCAAATGTGCATCATAAAAACCCCACAACATTTACCCCTTCAGTCAGTGCCATTMTTTTACTGAGCTCAGCCAGTTCTGCTGCAGCAAACACAGGGAATGCTGCTCCTGTTTGGAATGTGGGTGGGTGGGTGCTGGGATGGAAGTGCATTTATTCTGCTTTATTCCTGCTCAGCCCTGTGATTCTGCAGGTTTAGGTGTGCCCTGCCTGATATCTGAGTTTGTCCTTTCCATCCTTYACTTTGTGGTGTTTTACCCTCTGGAGCCGCCAGCTGAGCAGAATTTAGCTGGGAAATAGAACGTTGCGTAATGGTTTTAACCATGCATACCCAGCATATGTTCTAAAATGGTTTGTTATAAATCATCGTGACTCCTTACAAGATGTCCTCAGCCCTGGTTTGTCTGTTCTTTCTGAGAACAAAACACAGTCGCAAGAATGTATTTTCTGTGCTTGCCTCCGCAGCTGAGGAAATGATTYYGGGAATWKTTTTTTTTCTTTTCTTTTTCAAAATTTGTGTTTGCTTTTGGCTAATACCATCAGATAAATTAAATACTAAGATAATTTGGTGTAAAATTACTGTCTACAGTCAGGCTTCTGTGTACTGTTCTTTGGTTTTCCTTGAGGACAGACTGAAGCTGAGGAGAAAGAAAAGTTAAAGTTTAATATTACAGTTTATGTGTATATATGTTTACATGTACTCTTGATCATTGTTTGTACTTATGGCATAATTTCAGTGGTTGCCATAAAAAACCCAAAGTTTATCAGAACAACTACACTGCTCTTTGTGATATACTGTGTTATTTTCTGTATGAACAAAAACCAGTGCTAATGCAATAGAGAGGTAAATCTTTGGAAAATAGTGGCCTTCCAAAAATGAATGCAATAACTAATAATTTCAGCAGATTTTCAGCAATACYCATAGCACTAATGGTTTGAGAGGCTTCTAAATCCATGATCTKCCTCTTGAGATTTTGCAGGGTATAATAAAGCAGCTAAGTTTCTATGTAAGTACCAAATTACTTATTTTGTGTAATTATTTATATGTAAAAATATATAATATAATTATATATATATATCCATAATATATCCATAATTATATATAATTATAAAATTAATTATAATTACATTCAAATCTGACATTTTTGGATTTGTGTGTTTTAGTTTGAGTTTTTCCTCCTGACTAGCTT